CATGACCGGCCGGGCTGCCTTCTCATATGACTGGTCAGGGACTAAGGTTACAACTGGCGGGCAGAGTCTTTCAAGCCTCCTGGAATGTGCAGCCGTTTTGCACTTTCTGTTCTTGTCAGCTGGCCATGGCAATTTGGGCAGCAAGAAGAACTAGCTTTGCATTCCTTTTCAGTTTTCAGGATGCCCGGTCTTACACCTGCACATGTACCACAACGAGGGCATACGGCTGCGTATCGGCATTACGACTGGCTATGGCCGTTCATCTGACGCCAGAGGGTTCGGCACATAGGGTCACATGTCCAGGGTCAAGTATGATGTCTGAACAGTCACTAGAATGATGACACGAATTGAGAGTGAGAACAACCGTGTTTGTTTCAAGAGTTTTCTCCCCCCCCCCCTCCCCGTCGAAGAGTAATCCAGCGGGCTTCGACTACACCCTCACAATTTGCTGCAACTGTTTCCATAGAGTATAGAGTAGCCTTGGAGCTCATGGCAGCGTACAATGCCCTTCGAACAAGTGAACTTATGGTGCCGCTTGGATACACACGGAATACCGCCATGGTCAGGACATTTTAGGAGTCTGGTCACTTCTTTCTCCGACACTCACTTGGCAAGGGGTGCACCAGAGGAAAGCTTCTGAACGTTTGTGGGGATCGGATGTATTCCACCAATGCATGTCTTAGTCACTAACTTAGTGCATCTCCGGTCTTGAAGAGATCCTGATGTTATTCTCTTGGTAGCCTCGTGATTATGCTTCTGGACCAGTAATTGTGAGTTCGGGGTTTGAACTTCAGCTTGTTCCAATGTTGTGTCCTTGGGAAAGACACTTTACATGAATTTCCTATTTGGCTCGGTCCTTTCGGGGATGGATGTTTATCTCAGATGTCCGCCTCTTACTTAACCTAATAGTGTTGATAGGGGCATTAAACCTATATCATTTCTCCTTTTGTTATTCTTTTCTGTGAGTTCGTGCTGGAGATGGTCACGTGCGGCCCCCCGGGGAAAACGGAGGACAGGAGCGGCCGTAAATGTCCCTATTCTGTCTGTGGGTTTACTCGGCTCGCTGGTGTTCCCGATTCCATGAGCAGAGACTTTTTCATAACGTTGGGAGCTGGGGTAGGGTCAATGATAGCTGTGCCAAGGCTGACCCAAAGTTCTACTCTCCATGAGGAGAGTAGTACTACTACTAAGCCTTCCCGGGCTTCCCGTCAAAGTTGACCCGAAAACAGTCTGAAGGGGTTTCAGCCCCCAACGGATTTAATGGTATGGGCTGTGCCACCCTCTCGTCCCAAAGGAAATTATGGGCCAAAAAAGTGTGTCAGCAAATTAACGAGCAAGTTTGTTCAGTCTAGACTCTAGACAAGCCTATTCATAATTTGAGGAGCTGGAAATGGCCTCATTTTTTGTACATGATCCCAAATTTCCCTCCAAAGTTGCTATGTTGGTCGTTACTATGCTGGTTGTTACACCCTCAGTGCGGAGTATAATCTTATTAGTTTTTATGTAATATAATATGTATGTAGTGCTCGCAACCCCCCCAAAAATTGTTTTAAAACCGGGTACTACAATTTCAAAAGTAACGTTGCTCTGGTTGTAGTCGAGGTTAGTCCAGTTGTGATCTGAAAAGTTGACATAGCTTTATTTCTTAGTCATTCAAATTTCCGTTGTAAGCCTTCGTGTTGTTCGTTACTGTGTTGGTCGTTACATTCTCAGTGTTGAGCATTGTCTTTCATTTTCGTGTATGTGTACAGTGGAAACCTGATATAACAGGGATGGTGGGACCAGAGAAAAGGTCCTGTTATATCATGATCCCTGTTAAATCAGAAATACAAGGGAAGTAAGCGTTTGTGGACTAACTCTACTGCATTTATTTATAGGTAGTTTCCCTTGCCACAAGTACCTACGAACAGGGGTTTTAGCCATGTGGCAGGCCTGCGCATGACACATTACGCGTGCGTGTAGCTTGGCTAAGGGCTAGATCGAAGTCTACAGCACACCGTAGCCCTCTCTCGCTTCACTCACTGCGTGTGCTTGCAGTGGCGTGGCTTGCATGGATTTGCTCCATCACTGCGTTTCTCTCTCTCTCTCTCTCTCTCTCTCTCTCTCTCTCTCTCTCTCTCTCTCTCTCTCTCTCTCTCTCTCTCTCTCTAACTTTTTACACATTGTTAACGAGCCTTTGTCCCTGCTATAAACGATTGGGATCCGATGAGGCCCTGTTATTGTTGATAACTTTCAATATAGACAAAGAGTAGGAAGAAACGGGGATTAAAAATGTTTTTAAATCCATGTGATTAACGGATCTCTGTTAATTGTTATTACCGGGCCTGTTAAATATATGGTTCCCATTGTAGTTATAACTTCGAACAAAACATGTTGTTTCACTCCTGTGTCTACAAATTTGAAAGTGCATTGTTCTGTGTAGACTCTGGACAAACCTATTTCAATTTGTGATCTCAGAAGCTGGGAACAGCCTTCTTAGTCATCCAAATTTCTCTTGTACCGTAAGTTACTATGTTAGTCGATACATTTCCAGTGTTAAGCACAATCTTTTTGTTTTAGCCTAAGTGTAGTTGTAACAACCAAGAAAACATTTTGATTTAAAGTCTGAGTCTACAATTTAAAAAAAAACAATTGTGTACTGTGTACTGACTTGACTCTAGACTATCCTAGTTGTGATCTGAGAAGCTGAAAATAGCAATATATATTTCATCTATGCTAAGAGACGCCCGAGTTATGGTTACTCAAAGTTGACCTTGAAAAATAGGCTTCGCAAAATTGTGTGAAATCAAATCAAGGTAAATATCACGCCTTTATTGAGGTGCATCAGCATTGGTAGAATGTACATATAGAATATATTATTATTATGTAAATAATATAGTATCACAGTACAGTAGAACTCGGATTTTCGTTATAATGGCAAAATGAGGTTTTTGTGAAGATAATTATAGGCACCGACCAAGTAATGCATTAAGTAAAGTAACAAGTGGCAGGCTACGCTGAAATGCCTGCATTTTTGCCCCTTTTCGACTTCCTCAACCAAAAATAGTTTGTTTAGTTTCATGAGAGGCTTTTTCGTTTCTTTGATGTTACACGTGTGCTGGCCGCCTGTCCGACCCTGACACACACTAAGACACATGCTGATTGATTGGGTAGATGTTTTACGGCACTATCGATACAATTTTGGTCATTTAAGCGCCAACAGGTTTCACCTCTACAAAATCAGACGTGTTTTTAGTAAGAGTCTTTCGGAGCTCGCAACCGCACACGATCACACTATTTGCATTATAGAATGCTAAAAAGACGAAAAAACATATATAAAACATTTTTTTGTAAATATGGAAAAAGGCTTATTTACATTTGTATATACAATATAAATTTCAGTGTATGTATATATACACCGTATGTATATATTATACACCGATAACGATAACTATATATTTTCATATTCTATTAAATAGTCCAATTTCTTTTATATAGCTTAAATTTTTCTAGGCTCTACGATGTCAAAAAGGGTCTTAATATCTTTACATTTACAATATTTCTCGCGAACATATAATTAAATTCGACACATTCCATTAGGATGTGCCGAACTGTGAAATTTGTGTTGCACGCCACGCAAAAAAGGAGCTTCCTCTCCTTCCAGCAAATGTTTGTGCGTGACGTGCGTGTGTCCTATCTTTAGTCTGGTAAAAATTACTTTTTCCTCTTCTTAGGAGAGATAGTGGTTTCCTGGGAGTAAGTTTCGGTTGAATGTAATGGAGTTTGTTGTGTATTTGTTGATTCCAAATTTGGGACCAGGAGGATGTGATGTGTTCTTTTACTTTCGGTTTCATGTCAGAGAAAGGGATTTTTACTATTTTTGTTTTCAGGTAGTTTTGGTTTTAGAGATTCTTTGACAAATTGGTCAACGGCTTCGTTGCCATCAATGCCTACATGGCTTGGAAGCCAAGCTATTGTAATAGTTTTTCCAGACTGATGTAGAAAATGCAGTTTAATTATAAGTTTTAAAATTCTGTTGTCGGAGGTGTCAGAGCGCTCTAAAGATTTCAGACAAGAGAGAGAGTCTGAAAGGATTAGGAAGGTAGACTTGGTTGATTGATCTATAATATTTAGGGCCATTTCAAGAGCTGTAGCCTCAGCAGTGTAGACTGAAGCTTCTGGGTGGAGTTTCCTTAAGCTTAAGCTGTGTGGCGATGCAAGGGCAGCAGCTCCTACTGAGGAGTCATTTTTGGATCCGTCTGTAAAGAGTTTCTCTGCTTCAGGGTATCTATTTATTAGCTGTTTGTATGAGTTTAAGTATGTAGTTTTGTCTGTAGACTTTTTGTTGTGTTTTTCAAGACTAGTATCTATGTTTGGTTTGGTTAAATGCCATGGAGGTATGTTGGACATGGCAAAGGGCTCGATTATGTCTTCAGAAAAATCAACGTCTTTGAGATCGTTCTGGATTTTTATTCCGAAAGGGCTTACTTTATTTCCTAAGGAGGATAGAGTTTTTAGATCTTCGGGAAGGTCAAAGGCACATTTGTGGGCTGGGTTTTGGGGTTGTAAGCTAAGTTTCAAAGCGTACTGCAAAGAGAGTTTTTTCCTTCTAAGTTCTAAAGATGGTTCATGCGCTTCTGCCTGTAAACTTTCTACAGGTGAAGTACGGAAGGCGCCTAGGGCAAGGCGAAGGCCTTGGTTCTGAACAGGGTCTAAAATTTTAAAGTAAGACTTTCTGGCTGAGCCGTAAACAGGACTGGCATAGTCCAGCCTGGAACGGACAAGGGAACGGTAAAGTGGAAGAAGTATTTCAGTATCTCCTCCCCATTCAGGATTGGATAATACTTTTAAGGCGTTGAGAGCACTCTGACACCTCGTCTTTAGGTCTTTCAAGTGTGGTAGGAAAGAAAGTTTATTGTTGAAGATTACGCCCAGGAAACGAGCTTGTTTTTTAACAGGAATTTTCTCTCCAAACAAATATAAATCTGGTTGTCGCACACACTTGTGCGACAGACAAAAACGTACCAAGTTTGTTTTTATTGTGGAAAACTTGAACACATGCTCGTGCCAACAATGAGTGTGTATGAAAGAAGGCCACTGATAAGTCGCATGAGATATAAACGATAGGCTAAGCAAATAATGGTTCACAATGTAGTACTGTGGATGGTTTCCAGGAATACATAAGGTTCGTTGCCGGAGTAAATTGGGCGAAGCCATGTCAGTGAGGACCATTTACCCTGTAAGCAACTTCGTTGAATCCGAGCTTGCTTATTAGTATATTAGCTGAATGCGAATTATTTCAAATGATTATAAAGAATAAAACAAATGGGGAATACACTTCTTTTTTGTTGAATCCGAGTTTTTGTTGAATCTGAATTCGCTGAATCCGAGTTCCAGTGTATAACATTATACATGTACCAAGTATTTAAATGACAGCAACATGGAGAAATCAGTGAAATAAGTACTGGAAGTACAAGCTGCACAAAAATAAGTCTGCTGGAAAAACATTACAAATCACATGTGCCAATCTACAAGTCTTAGACTTAGAGCTATTCTCTTTCACAATCAATACAAATATCACAGATATAGCACATTCATTGTCTTTGCTTCCGGCTTACCCATAAGATGACAGGCAAAGTTCAAACATTCTTTGCAAAGGCCAGAAACAAATATCTTTGCTTTGACATTGCTTAAGTTAAAAGTGCAGCCTTCTATTTTCACCATAAAATCAATCATCGTCATCATCCTCTTTGCTGGGGAAATGAAAAAAACAGAGTTGTATCAGCAGCTTGAAAAACCTTAACAGATATGTAAGAATTATTAAAATTTCTTCTCACAGAGCATTCATTGAGTAGTATGCATAGCAAGTAAGAGCTAGTCCAACTATATTTCAAGCAATGACAGATTCACACGAAAATATCACTAAAAAGAAGCAGAAGTAGATGTGGAAGACCAAACCAGAGACCTACCAATAACATTGATTGAGCTCTGGGAAACTGTATCACAACAACCAAAAGCATTACGTTATATAAATCTATCTGTTCCATTTCCTTTCTAACATAGCAGTACGTGTACAAATTAAACGGGGCCAATGAGCAAAAAGTATTTTTTTAAACAGGGAGAGTAGTTTTAAAAAAAAATATATGCAGATAAATTCTTAGTAGACTTATGATGAGCAACCCTTCTTCCATCCTCAAAAAGTAAAGCCACAGAGTCAAAATAGGTACATGCGAGTCGATGGGTTATAAAAATTTAGAATTCTGAATTCTCCGTGCACAATTGTTAATTATACATCACGTAAGAATTAAGATGCATGGAAAAGGAGTCAAACGGAAAATGTGATTGTGATTGGGACAAGCCAAAAATTAAATCGTACACAATAAAGCAGAGATCAACTAGGTGTACTCATAAATCCACTAAACCTTGACCATCAATAATTTATTTATAGAGGCACCAGTCAAAACTCCACTCTACAACAAATAGATACACACTGACAAAAGGGTCATCTGCAATATCAAGCTTTTACAATTTTCTTTTGTAATTTCAAGAAAGACCTTTTATATAATTAAAACAATTGTTTTAAAATATTCAATCTCAAAACATGCTGTAAACCAGTGCTTTTTAACTACGTTTTTCATTCACTTTTTCTTCAACAGCATAAAGTAAACAACGAAAATAAATTTTCAGCTTTTTCTAAATTATTTTCTTTTAGGATATAACAAGTCACAGAGCCCTTCGTAAATATATCTCACCTTTCAGGAAGAGCAATTGCTGACAACGCCTTCATATCCAACTGGGGCTGGATTTTTTCTGGACAAAGAGAGAGATGAAGGGAAAAAATGAATAATTTGCCACACAAAGTAACAATCTGCACACCAAGTCAAGAGTCGCCAAGGAGGTAGCGGTGTCCCTTTGCTTCTAAGTAGATCAACACTCAGCATTCACATACCACTGGGAACAAAGCAGAGCTATACTAGCACTGATGGAAACAGGAGCAGACCACAATCCTGTTTTCCCCTTCCCCCATATGACCCTAAACATGTTTTAAGCCCCTTTGACACAATTAAGATAATCTGGGATTCAGGTTACTTCAACTTCAACCTTACCTCTCAGGACCATCTCAGGCTCAGTGTAGGTGAGATACAGCAGCTCAGCTGACAGAAGGAGATGCTAAGTAAAACAACTTCCCAATCATCATCATACGGTGCCTTGCCGACTGGCGTGGGCGATCATGGACCTCCACTTCACTCTGTCTTGCGCTGCAGCAATGGTGTCTGTTGTTCTTGCTGCTCCTAGCCATGTTGTCATCTTGTCCAGTATCTTTTCCGTCTGTCTGCCTCTGCCTCCCTTTCCATCAAACTTGCCTGTTGTTACAATATTCTCTAATGCTTCTTTCCGCATTGTGTGTCCGAAGAAATTTGCCTGTCGCTTTCTTATATTCGTCATAAGTTGTCTTCCATAATTTGCTTCAACCAAGACTTCTTCATTTGTTTTTCTAGCTCTCCATGGGATACGTAGCATGCGTCTTATGAACCACAACTCTGTTGCCACGATTGTTCTTTCCAGCTGTTTATTGATTGTCCACGCTTCGCACCCGTATAATAGGATTGGCTCAATGTAACTTTTCAGTACTTCCCAATACATGCAGGTATGTTTTGGTTCTTTCTTCAACACCTCTATCAACACAATTTAGATCATTTAGGAGGCAGGCTTCCGACCCTGCCTGTCCGGGCCAATCCTGGCTGAGAGGAATACAACATCCGAGCAGAAAGACTGAGACACTCCCAAAAATTTATCTCCACTCTGAATTTGAACTAAGGTCACCTGTGTGCCACCACAAAGCGCCTAACCATTACACAACAGACAGACACCAGTGAGCTTCAGCCAGCATGCTCGGTAAACAAGAGAAAAAACAAGTTTTGTCGTAAGAAATGAAATTGGGACACACCATAGATCTTTTCATAAAACAATGTATACTGGCGGTAAAAAAAAAAAAATCGATTGTGCATAAATAAAAATCCAGTCTTTTGAGTCTTTACACATTTCCTTTCACGCGAGTAATATTAAGTAGTCCAAAGAGCAGGTTATGACATAAAAATAACCTTTTGTTGTTTCAATTAGTGTTCATAGCACAAACATAAAAAAATGAAAAATTGGCATTTCTTCCACTTCCACATCATGCGGCTGATTTTTTGTATTCTTTGTTTTTTCGTGAAGTTAGGTCTTTGTTTATAATATAAACCTCAATAACATTTAATTTTGACCATTGTCACCCAAGAACGACAGTAGGTTTAACCAAAGATAGTACATAACAAGATGGGCCACTTCTCTCTTTGAGCCAATTAAAAAAGTGTCCTCAAAATTCGGTGGCGCCCTCTTCACAAAAGCGCACCTTTTGCGAACAGAGTTATCCTACTTGGGTTTAAAAAATCAAAGTGAAACTAGCAAGTTTTTGAATGAATTTCTGAAGAACGCTTTTTTAAAATGGTTACGCTGACAAAAAACCTCTTCCGGAGGAAAGGGTGATTGTTTTCTTCGTTTAATTTGACTTTAGAATGAAAGGCGAGAGGTCATTAAAATTTTAAAAACTAAAACTCCGTACTGAACGAACCCGAACTGCTGATGAACAGCAGTCGATCTGCGCACGCACGCAAGGAGGTGCTATTCCTATTCTTCTTCTGGAAAAACGAAAGAGAGCTTCAAAACAGACTGCAGCGCCATCTGAAGGAAAGAGCATACTTCCTGCGGACACTTTTTAGGCTGAGTGGCCCATCTTGTTATTTACTATCTTTGGTTTAACTCAACATCTGAGAAATCTGGCCATCGGAATGCTCCGTGTGTTTCCCCTGTTGCTAGGACATTCAACATCAGTTCTCTCAGGAACTCAAACCAGAAAGAGCAAGCTAACCATAGAACAGTGTGAGTTCTCATATTGTAAAAGAAGTTCTTCAAATAGCAAAAGTGCTGTGACTGAGACAATCACAAAAAGGAGCAACACCAGAAAATGTATACTCTTGTCAGGAATGCAAAAGAAAAACACCAGTTAAAGTGCAAAAGTCATCAAAGGCCTGCTTCATGTATCAGTTTGACATCTTTCAAATAGACATCTCAAACACTTTTGAAGTCGACAAATGTGTTTGACGTGGAAAAAAGAAATTGAAGAAAACAGATGGTATAATTGCAATAATCGTTGGAAAAATATCACTGCCACCAAGAAAAAAGGTAACCAATACGAGGAGTTGGTAGCCTAGTGGTTACTGTACAGGATTCGTAATTGTGAAATTGTAGGTTGGGGGTTCAAGACAGCTCGGCCTAGCATTGTGTCCTTGGGAAAGGCACTTGACATTAATGTTCCCATTTGCCTCGGTCCTATCGGAGATGAGACATTATATAATCAGAGGTCTCGCGTCTTAAATAACCTTGCAGCTTTTCAAAGAGCGTTAACCCTTTGAGCCCTCTCGTCCTGAGGCTACCGTGCCCATCTGCCTGAGCTCCTGGGCAATTCGCGCCTATATCACTCTCACATATATACATGTACATAATTGTCTGAATCATATTCCATTAGTCCTTGTTATTATCAGCATCTAGATCTAATTCAGAAAGATTTTCAGAATAATCAATAACGTCCTGTACAGCAAACACTGTTTCGAGCATTTTGTCATAGTTGGGCCGGGTTGGGGATAAGGTCTTGCTCATCGCTGTACTGATGGCTTGGCGTAGGGGCAATGTTACGTGCCACTGGTGTACCAGTGGCTAGGGCTCAAAGGGTTAAACCTTAACAATTTCGCATTTCTTACCAGGTATTAATGAAAAGATAGACAGATTAGGGTATAGGCCGCACGTTCCACCTTTCACTATCCAGGGCTGGCCTCTTAATGTTATTCCATGTCTTCCCACTTTTCTGTACATCAATCTATGTGGCCTTCCCCTTGATCTTTTACCCTGTGGATTCCAATCCAACACTTTCCTTATTAAGCAGCTGCCTGATTTCCTGATGTCTAATCCATTGCCACCACCTTTTTTCCACTTCATCTGTCTGGGCTCTGTCTTGTGCACCTTAACACTTACTCAATGGTGACCCTGCCTGTCCATCTGATCCTCAGTAACTTTCTCAACTACTCGTTCAAGAAAACCTGTATCCTCTTTATGCAAGTCTGAGATGTGTTCCATGTCTCACATCCATACAACAAGACTGACTTCACATTTGAGTTGAAAATCCTCAGCTTTGTTCCAAAAGAGATATGCCTGGTCCTCCAAATCCTATTCGGAGATATAAAAAAAGCTTGTGCCTTTCCAAGGCAGAACTTTATTTCAGCACCTGTTCCCCCCTCTCTGTTAACTATACTTCCAGGATAGCAGAAGGGTTCAACGTCTTCTAGTGCATCTGATCATCCAACTGTGTCAATGGGGTCTATCGTATGCCATTTCTGTGTCCTCTGGTGGTTTCCTTCATCAGCCAATCGATCGCCAAGATGAAGGGGAAAGGTGATAGTAAACATCCCTGTCTCACACCGGTCTTGATGTCAAAGCTGTCAGTGAGCTGGCCATCATGTATAACCCCGCAACTTGTCCCTTCATACATGCTCTTGATGAGGTCCACCAACTTCTGTGGGATTCTGTGATGTCTCACTATCTTCCATAGTGTTGCTTGGTTTATACTGTCAAAAGCCTTGTAGTAAAAAAAAAAGTGGACGATCAACTAAGAGTTCCACTCCAGGGACAGTTCCACTATGATCCTCACTGTGGTAATCTGTCAGTGGTTGACCAATTTTTTCAAAAACCAGCCTGTTCATCCCGAAGTCTCGGGTCTATTGCAGTCTTGGTTCACTCCAGTATGATTCTGTTGAAGGCCTTACCTGGCATAGAGAGAAGTGTGAAGGTGAAATCCCCCCTCTTTAGGAAGCTTCATGAGGTGTCCTTCTTTCCAATCCTTTGGGAAATTGCTCTCATTCCAAATCCCGGTAAACAGTGGGATAAGGAGGTCTGTTGTCACAGTGGCATCTATTTTTAGGGTCTCAGGTGGAATCTGATCAGGACCAGCCACTCTACCTTTGTTCAGCTTCTTAATGGCATCCAGAATCTCTTGTTTTGAAGGAGCATCACAGCTGATTGGTAACTTATTTCTTGTTGGCAGGATGTTTGGCTGGTTACTTGATGGCGGACTGTTCAGGAGACTGTTGAAATGCTCTATCCATCGTTTCCACTGAGATTCCTTTCCAAAAATGGTTTTCCTCTCATGGTCATTTACTGGTACATCTGGTTTCCCATGTTTTTTCCCTGAAAGAGTCTTTATGGCCTAGTAAAAGATTCGCATGTGCCCTCCTGCCGCTGCTTCCTCTGCCCTCTCTGCCAACTTGTTCATGAATTTCTCCTCATCTTTTCTTAGTGATCTCTTGACATCTTTAGCTGCTGTCCAGCACTGCTTCAATGCATCCGCTCTGGATCCCCTTGTTCTACTTGCATTCGCCTTTGCCTTCAGTTATCTTTTTTTCCTAATCAAATCCACAGAGTGTCGGCTAATCCATCCCTTTTGCTCCACTTCTCGAATACTTCTTGACATGTCGAAGTAAAGACTTCTCCCCTCCTAGATCAGCCAGAGGTTGAAATCTGCTCCTCAGCTGCAGCTATAGGGTGGATAATACACGAGCCTTTTCAATATTGAAGCAAGAGAACTCTGGGGGCTCTCGTGGTCTATAGGTATCGTGTGTGGTGTTTGCTTCTCACTCAATAGGTCGCCGGTTCGGAACACGACAGCGACAGAAAAATCTCCTTCTTCTGAAATGTTCTCCTTTTATCTCTTCACCGGTACTCTAGACATGTTCTGTCATTTGTTTTCATCTCCACTTCTAACCCCCCCCGCCCCGCCCCGCTCAATATGTGTCGAGATGAAAATAGATCATGGTCTCAAAGTCTAAAAGTAGGTCTACCTCTTCCTCCTCTTGCTCTTTGGTAGCAGTTGCTTGTGTTTCCTTTGAATGAGACAGAAAAAAAACAAGAAAAAAAATGTCGCCTGTGAAGAACAGGAACCACAGAGTGAGTGTTAAGATGTAAAACCTGTTGATGGCAGCCTTTTCAAAGACCAACAAAATCCAAAGAGGTACATGCCGATAACATGGTGACTGAATGAGTCATTTTACTGCAAAAGTGCTAATATTGCACTGGAAAACTGGACACAGGATGGACGTAAAAATGCTCTACTTCCCCATAGCCTTGTCTTTGAAAAAAATGTATCTGTCACCATGGGTTGTTTACCTTTCGTTTAACATTTTACCATCTGGGACTCCAGCAGTCAGAGGGGAGGTACCGGTAATTTAGGAAAGACAGCCTATAGATGACATACAAGGCAGAACCAAGGCTCCTTTCAGCCGTAATTGTACAGTGAAACTCGGTTTCGACGAACTCGAATTCAACAAAAACTCGGATTCAACTAAAGGAGTTGGATTCCCCAATTTTTTAATTCATAAAAATCAATAAAAATAACTCGGATTCAACGAACACATAAATGAGGAGTCAAAAGGCTTGTATTTGTCTATGTCGTTTCCCATCACCCATCTGTCCAAGTTCTGTTAAGGAGTTTATTGGTGTGCATAAAGCAACAACAACGAAAAAAAAAAGAAAGAAACAGAAAAAGGTGTTGCATAAGAACGTCGCATGTACATTTTTTCAATTTTCCAAACTGGCAAATTCAGAGTGGCATTCACGAAGTTCTAGACAGGGAAGAGCAGACTGGTAATTCTGGGGGGAAAATTCTGTAAGTCAAATGGAAATACGCAGGCCTGCAGCATACACTTTCTGATCACTGGTGGTCTTACTACAAAGAAATGACAAATGGTTCACAACGAAGAATATTTGCTGCCCAGACAAAAAATGTTGTTGTTGAATATAATATATATACACTCCAATTGACACAATTTGGATCAATATCGAGGCAGGCTGAGAGGGATGGATACAAGATTGCAGCAGAAAGACCAAAATACTTGATAAATATTCTCCTCACATGGGAATCGAACTCAGGTCTTCTGTGAGTGCTGGCAATGCCAGTGCCCCCCCCCCCCCCCCACTCCCACCAAAACAAACTACATAAAACCAGGAGATTGTTTCACACAAAGCCATTTAACACAAAATTCCAGCAACATGAAAGGATTTCACCCCCTATTTTCCCCCTCTTTATTAAATGTATTACCTTAACACAATAAAAATAATTCCAGTAGATCTGGTTACACAAAGTGGAAAGGTAAACAGCAATTTCGTTAATCAAAAAGGATGCCGGGAAATATTTCCAAGTGAAAAGATGATGTGATTCTCATTGGAAGTTTTATTTAATGTGACCATAATAAGTATGACAAAATTACTATAAAAACACATACTGGTAGCTAAAATTTTATTGTTTTGAGTAATATGGGTTATGGCTACAAATTTACATGAACCCTCTCGTGTAAATGAACACCTGCAGGGCTTACAGACCATCTCCGTGTCTATCAACTCTCAAAATGACAATAGTATCCCAATTATACGAGCACACTTGTACATTACTAGCGGGCAAAAGAAACACAAAAGTTCTGTTTACCTTTGCAGTGGTGATCATCTTCGTGTTCCATCTGGCATTATGAAAGGATACGCGAGGTATCACTGTGAATATTACATTTTAACGGAATAGATCTACATTTTCAACTTCCGGTTAATGCATCAAAATGGTCAGTACTGGTTATGGCCACCATTAGATCGGAAAACCACAGTGCATTTCCGGTACAAGGAAACCACTTGGCTGTTAGTAAAACGTTGCGACACCTTCCTCCACATCTCCTGGATGGTTACATCCAGTTCCTGCGTGATTCTCAGCCTTGTTGTCTCCCCTTGATGCGACGATTAATTTCTTCCCAAAAATTTTTAATTGGGTTTTAATCGATGCTAAGGGCAGGGTGATGCTGCAGAGTGATGCCATGGTGTTGGAGGAAATCCCGTGTAACACGGGAAGTGTGCTCACAAGCATTATTTAGCTGGAACTGGAAGTTAAAATTTTGTGTGGGTTGAGGGGCCTAAGAACTCCTGCTATGCAGGAGGCAGCATTGATACCTTGACCTCGACCTTGGCCTTGATTTTGGAAGATCATTGGTCCTATTTTGTGGTTCCACATGATTCCACCCCAGATCATGACACGATGTCCTCCCCAGAGATTCATCTCTATGACACAGTTGCCACGATAACGTTCGTCTCCGTCTTGATAAACTATGAGGTCCCTGTTTGTTGTATCTATGGAGAACAAGCATTTGTCCGAAAATGAGAACTGAGGACCAGTCTCTCAGATGGCTGTTGATATAGTGCAGGGCCCAGTTGAGACACTCTTGGTGATGGTGTTTGGTCGAGACTGAACCATGGTAAGGTCGACGGCACCTACAGCCTATCTGACGCAATCGTCGGTTCACTGTGTGTCGACTTCTGGCTCTTTCGTGGGTACCCTTGATCAAATCTGACGTTCTTGTAGCTGTCTGAAGTCGATTTGAACGAAACATCTGGACAATGTGTTTGTACGCACGTGCATTGGTCCCTATGGGTCGACCTGACCTTTTTCAATCCGACGTCGTACTCGAGAGCTGAAAATGGCTTATCAGTCTGTGGATAGTCTAGATGTGAACACCAAAATGATTGGCAACCACGATTGGCCTTTCTCCACCATCCAAACAGCCTATTGCTCTTTCTTGCTGTATAGCCCTAAAACATTGCATTGTCGTTGCAAATGCAGACGAAACGACCGAAACGATTTTTTAAAACGGCTTTTATCGCCGAGCTTTGGTGACTATTTTTCACCCTCTTTTCACTTATTTAGACCGTGTTTCGGAGGCACCTTTTCCATGCTTCAATAAAGGGGCAATAATTCTAGTTGCCAGTGACAAACAAGACGGGTGATTTTTGATTTCCAAAGAAGCTATGACAAACTATAGATGTTTTTTTTGTTATGGCCAAAATAGTTTTTTTGTGTGTTTCTTTTGATCGCTAGTACAATATTACTTCAAAGTCTCTTTTACTATTTTAATCTAAATTTTTAGTCCCATATAATTTTTGAAAATATATCATCAACAAAATCCCATTCTCATCTACTCTGTCTGCTTTCCCTTATTAGAGTGAAATAATACACATAGAACAAGCATCTTTGCAAATGTACTGCTTGAAGCCACTTACTGTCTCCTTCTCTCTCTCAATTATGGACAAGCCCTCTGCTACGCGTCTGTGAAAGAGGAAAAAAATGTTCTTTTGGTAATATTCAACATATGGCTATAACACAACACAAAACTTTATTACCTATTTCATTTCAATATGCTGTTGAGTTTGAACTCATTCTACATGCTGCATCATACAATACGTTGAACAAAGAATTTTTTTCCAGCTTTGAGAAAACATGTGCAGGGGAAAATATTTTCAAGAACAACCTTCAACAACTTTTCTACCATGAGTCAGTAGTAGTAGTACAGGGTTTTACGGCGCTCGCAACTGCGTAAGGTCATATGAGCGCGCGAAACACAAGTTGGTAGCATTCGCAACAGTTCACTGCACGGTTGGTCGACAATTAGACTTTAAAATGCTAAAATACTAAAATTCAGTGTAAATATATTTGCGATTTAAAACAACTCTTATACATAACAATAAAATATTTCACAATATTGTTTCACTTTACAATTTGCCATAAAGGCCAATGGCCTTCATAAAATTCAAAATTTTGCTGGGACCAACGACGGAAAAAATGTCTTGCAATTTCTTGCATTTATAATATATTGTTTCCTTCGGATCTTTCCAAAGTCTAGACATTCGGTTAAGATGACATTCGGTTAAGATGTGTCTAATGGTAAAATCTGTGTCGCATCCGACACAGAACGGCTTCTCATCTCCCTGTAGGAGATATTTGTGGGTCAGGGCCGTGTGTCCGAAGCGCAGTCGAGTAAAAATGACATCGTCTCTTCTGGAGAGGTCCGAAGGATTTCGCTGTTCTAGTTTGCGTTTTATAACATATAGTTTATTGCTTTTCTGTTTTTCCCAGTGGCTCTCCCACAGACTGGAGGTGTACTTTTTACTTTATTTCTAAAATCAGTCTGTGGGAGAGTGTTTGTCGTTGATCCCAGCAGAAGGGATGAAGCTTTCTTCGCCAGGTCGTCTACCTGCTCGTTTCCTCGGATGCCCACATGGCTAGGTATCCATGCGAACATGATGTTTTTTCCTGTTTCGGATAGTGTATGAATTTTCTGTTGTAGCCTAACTACAGTGGAAACCATATATAACAGGCCCGGTAATAACAGGGATCCGGTAATAACAGGGATTTTTCAAATCCCCGTTTTTTCCTACTCTTTGTCTCTATTAAAAGTTATCGGCAATAACAGGGCCTCGTCGGAGCCCAACCGGTTATAGCAGGGACAAAGGCTCGTTAACAATGTGTAAAGAGAAAGCGAGAGAGAGAGAGAGAGAGAGAGAGAGAGAGAGAGAGAGAGAGAGAGAGAGAGAGAGAGAGAGAGAGAGAGAGAGAGAGAGCTGGAGAGAGAGAGAGAGAGAGAGAGAGAGAGAGCGCTAGAGAGAGAGAGAGAGAGAGAGAGAGAGAGAGTAACGCAGTGGTGGAGCAAGCCCACGCAAGCCATGCCACTACAAGCACACGCAGCGTGTGAAGCGAGAGAGGGCTGCGGTGTGCTGCAGACCTCGATCTTGCCCGAAACCTAGCAACACGCACGCGTAATGTGTCACCAACGATGTCAAGCGCAAGAGAAAATGCCTTTCAATTGACCAAAAAAAATAAATAATCCAGGTTGTTGACAAAAAGCAAGCTCCACTGGAAGAGATTTGTCGTCAGTTTGACTTTCCACAAGGGTCGATTCATCCCATTATCAAGGATAGAGAGAAAATAGTTGCAGCATACTCCAATGAAAAGTTTGCTCTGGATCAAAAGAAGATGAGACTACCCGATACAGATGCTGTGGACCAAGCTTTGGTGCCAAAACCCCTGTTCGTGGGTACTTGTGGCAAAGGAAACTACCCATGAATAAGTACAGCTGGATTAGTCCACAAATGCTTACTTTCCTTGCATTTCTGATTTAACAGGGATCGGATATAACAGGACATTTTCTCTACTCCCACCATCCCTGTTATATCAGGTTTCCACTGTATTTTGGGATGTAAGAGTGTGTAGTTTGTGAGTGAGGTGATGCAAGACAGAGAGTCAGAAAGGATAAGGAAAGATTTGTTAGGAGAGTTTTCTACAGAGTCCAGTGCCATGTCAATGGCAGTGGCCTCCGCAGAGAAAATGGAGGCTTCAGGATGGAGTCTCCTCTAGTGTGTACTGTTGGAAGATGGGGCTGCGGCGCCCACTTCATTGTCTGTTATGGAGCCATCTGTGAAGATGAGCTCCGCACCGGGGTATTTATCTATTAGTTTTTTGTATTCTGCTTTAAAAGTTTTGGTGTGTGTGCTTTCTTTGTTGTGTGTGGTCAGCTATAAATCTACTTTTGCCTTGGTGAGGTGCCACGGAGGGAGGTCGGGGAAAAGAATTTGTTGGATGTCTTGTTTGGAAAAGTGTAAGTTTTTGAGGTCCTCAAGGATTCTGCAGTCGTGCGCTTGATTTTCCGGTGTTGAGCTCTGTTTAACTGCGTATTGTAGTGAGAGTTGTGTGTGCGTCTGAGTGGTGGTAAGTTTGCCTCGGCCTGGAGGCTCCCCACCGGAGAAGTGCGGAAATCCCCCAGAGCGAGGCGGAGTCCTTGGTTTTGTATTGGGTCTAGCATTTTTAAGATGTGTGGTTTTGCCGATTCGTAGACTTGACTGCCGTAGTCAAGCCTGGACCGGACGAGGGAGATGTACAAGTGGAGAAGGTGTTTTGAGTCCCCGCCCCACTCCGGAGCGTTTAGCGCTTCCTGGCACCTCACACGAAGGTCTTTGATGTGTGGTATGATGTGAGTTTTTTTGTCGAACATGACGCCGAGAAAACGAGCTTGGTCCTGGATGGGAATCCTTTCCCTGTATAGTGTCAAATCCGGCTGCAGCACACGTCTGCCTGTTCGGCAGAAGTGTACTGCAACCGTCTTTGACGGGGAGAACTTAAAACCGTTATTGTTGGCCCACTTTTCGAGTTTGTGCAGCTGCGTTTGCAGCTGCCTTTCCATAGATTTCAAAAGAGGATTTTTCGAACGGCAGCATATTAAAAAGTCGTCAACGTATAACGAGCTGTCTATGCTGTTTTGGAGGGTTTTTACAACGAAATTTATTTTAATTTCGAATAGGAGAGGAGAAAGGATGCTCCCCTGGGGGACTCCTTCCTCCTGTTAGTGGGGGTCTGAAAGGGAGGATCCGACACGAAACTGGAAGGAACGGTTCCTCAGGAAGTTGCCAATGAAGGCAGGGAAGTGACCGCGTTTGCCGAGTGCGTGCAGGTCTCGAAGAATGCCGTACTTAGTAGTAGTAGTAGTATAGGGTTTTACGGCGCTCGCAACTGCGTAAGGTCATATGAGCGCGCGAAACACAGGTTGTTTACTTTCGCAAAAGTTCACTGCACGATTGGTTAACTATTAGACTTTAAAATGCTAAAATATTAAAATTCGGTGTAAATAATATATTTTCAATTTAAAACAACTCTTATAAATAACAAGAAAATTTTTTAACAGAACGATTTCACTTAACAATTTGCCATAAAGGCCAATGGCCTTCATAAAATTCAATATTCTGCTGGGAACAACGACGGAAAAAATGTCTTACAATTTCTTGCATTTATAATATTTCCTTCGGATCTCTCCAAAGTCTAGACATTCGGTTAAGATGTGTCTAACGGTAAAATCTGTGTTGCATCCGATGCGACACAGAACGGCTTCTCATCTCCTTGTAGGAGGTTTTTGTGGGTCAGGTCCGTGTGTCCGATGCGCAATCGAGTAAAAATGACTTCGCCTCTTCTGGAGAGGTCCGAAGGATTTCGCTGTTCTAGTTTGGGTTTTATAACATATAGTTTATTGTTTTTCTTTTTTTCCCAGTGGCCCTCCCACAGACTGGAGGTGTACTTTTTTACTTTATTTCTAAAGTCAGTCTGAGGGAGCGTGTTTGTCGTTGATCCCAGCAGAAGGGATGAGGCTTTCTTCGCCATGTCGTCTACCTGCTCGTTTCCTCGGATGCCCACGTGCCGTACTTCCATGTTGTGTCGAAGGCTTTTTCTAGGTCGAAAAAGATGGCGATCATGTGGCCTCCTTCAGCGAACGTCTCGCGTATAAAGGTCTCCAGGGGGACCAGGTGATCCAGAGTGGATCGAGGTTTCCTGAATCCGCACTGGAGACCGCTCAGCGAGCCAGTCGTTTCCAGAAACCACATGAGTCGCCTGTGGATCAGTTTTTCAATGAGTTTGCAGAGACAGCTCGTTAGTGCTATTGGTCTGTAATTGGATGGGTGTGTGTGGTCCTTGTTTGGTTCAGGTATTGGAATGACAGTGGCGAGACGCCAAGACTCTGGAAATGGGTGCGACCGCCACATGTCGTTGTATACGTATAGTAGGAGTGTGAGTATTTCAGAAGGTAAGTATCTAATGATCTGGTTGTGGATGTCATCCGGTCCCGGGGCTGTATTGCCCAGGTCCGAGATGCACGATGTTAGTTTGTCTATTGTGAAGTCTGCGTTGTAGGTTTCAGTGTTGTTTGAGTGGAAGTTTAAGTGTTGTTTTTCTCTGTTTGTTTTGATGCTTTGAAAAGTGGTGTTGTAGTTTGCTTGGGATGAGTTTTTGGCGAGAGATGTAGCGCTATTGTGTTTGCGATGTCTACTAGTGTTTCAGCTGTGGTTCCATCCGGCCTCTGGACGTGCCGAATGGTGTCTGTGCATCTACCTAAGAATTTTTTAGCAATTTTGAAAACTTGGTTGAGAGGTGTCTGGCTGTTGATTTTGGAGATGTATTTTTTTTAATGATTGTCTTTAACTCTCCCTGAGGCATCTACATGCCACAGCTCGAGCCTTTAAATAGTTTATCTTGTTTTCTGTGGTGGTGCTGTTGACGGCCTTTCGATACGCTGCCTTCTTTTTCTTTACTGCATCCTCACATTTCCAAGAAAACCAGATCTTGTTCCTCCGGGGTTTTGTTTTTGTTTTTAGTATGTGTTTGTAACATATTTCTAAAAGCTTTTCGAGGAATTTATTGTAGTTGAGGTCGAAATTGGGATTAAGAATCTGGGAACATTGATTGGCAAACCCGTCCCAATCTGCTTTTTCGAAGTTGAAGCGTTCAGGGATCGGGTCGTTTTGGAGGCTATTGTTTTTTAGAAGAATTGCGAAATGGTCCGTACGGTCATCCAACACAGACCACTCAAGATCTGGGACTAGGTCAGGGGTACAAAAGGTGAGGTCAAGGGATGAAGTGCCATAAGTGGCTCTGTTTCTGTAAGTTGGGGACCTATCATTTAAGAGACAGATATTATTTTGAATTAAAAAGTTTTCTATTATTTTTCCTTTCTGGTCTGTAGGTATGTCTCCCCAAAGGGGGCGGTGGGCATTGAAATCACCTTGCAAAATAAAGGGTTTTGGAAGCTGAGCCTTTAAGTCATTTAGTTGGGTTATTTTGAGGGGGTAATTTGGTCCGTTGTAAACTGAGCAGATCGTGATTGGTCTGTCAGGGTGACCCGTACGGCAATAGCCTGGAGGATCGTCTTAAGATGTACTTGTCTGTGGAGTGTGTTGTTGTCGGTGTAGATGGTGGTACCACCGGAAGCAATCTGGTTCTCCGTGTGAATGTGATGGTACGCAGTAAATCCTCTTAAGTCTATGGTTGAAGCCGGGGCGAATTTTGTTTCTTGAATACAGGCCACCCGTGGGCACAGTGTGGCCTGTAAATGTTGCAATTCCGCAATGGAAGGTCGGATTCCGCCGGCATTCTATTGCAGGACCGCCATTTTGATTTTTTAGTTTTTATTTTGGAGCTCAAAGGCCCCGGCTTCGAAGAAACACTCTGACTCCTCCTTGCGGGGAAGGTAGAGTGTTTTCTAGCTAGGTTGCCGTCCTGGATTGGACGGCGGTCTAGTGGGGGATTTGGAAGGAGCAGCCATTTTGCGCCTTGTATTCTTGGATGGCGCATTCTTGGAGCCAAGTCGGGCACTGCTTGCTGAAAGCTGTGTGCTGGCCGTGGCATTGGGGCAACAAGGACTAGCCTTGCATTCCTTCTCAGGATGCCCGGTCTTGCCACAACGAGGACACACGGCTGCCTGACGGCTCCGTGACTGGCTAAGGCCGAACTTCTGACACTTGAAAATAGCGAAAAAGTGAGTGTCGCACACGGATCCCAGAGGGTTGGGGTCCGTGTCCGACACTCCGCCTTTGAAGGGGTTGCACCTTCTGCAGACGAAGCAGTGGGTCTATTTATATCCCCCCAGCCCACTGGGGGTATACCATGAGTCAGGTTCCTTTATCGATGATCTCAACAGAGAGCACATTATATTCCTTTCATTATTATAAATCAGACTCTTTTTTACGGAGGAAACAATGCTTAGAAATTAATCAGGATCTAAAAGAACTTTCTCACAAATGTCACGTATTATTTTCACGTGCGCATGCCCAAATCAAATATTTCTATCAACTTTAATAACTTCATTGATTCTTGAATCAGATTCCAAGAAAGCAAAACATCAAGAAAGGTGGTGAGAACCAGAAGTCTGTGGGGCATTTAGAAAAATGACAAAAGTAGTAAGCTAGGTTCCTTACGTTCGTAAAGCTTCAAGTTCGTTTTTGTAAGTTTCATGTGAATTCTGGTACATAACAATTAGTTCCTCCAGGGTTTTCTTGTCAGTCGTCTGAAACGACAAATCAAAAAGACTGATAGACAATAATAATGATGATAAAATGAGAATACAACTAATCCCAAAAGACAAAATGTTTGATCAAAAGACAAGATGCAACCGATCTCGTAAATCAAAGAATAGGCAAATAAACAAAAGCAAAATGGAATACAATGGAGCCAAAAGACAGTCTATTCTTTCCCTAATCACTTAATTCTAGTGATCTCCATATATGTTTCTCACCATAATAATATTTAACAAATACATACATGTATGAAGACTAGCTTTGCTAATTCTCTGCCCCATATTTACCTTTTCACTTACAAACTAAAATAAAATGCGAAATCAGAATTCATCTGGGTGACAGAGAAACATTGTGAAAATAACAACCCCTTAAAGGCACGGAAAAACTAGACAAACAAGCAGGAACAACAGAGTGAAAAATAGAGAGAAAGAGAGTGAGGGAGAGAGAGAGAGAGAGAGAGAGAGAGAGAGAGAGAGAGAGAGAGAGAGAGAGAGAGACAGAGAAAGAGAGTTAA